GTGTGTCGGTTCTTATATCGCGCCTTTATGGGCCCAGGACATATGCGGCCCGCAAACGCGGCCCCCAGGGTCGTCAAAGATGACTGCACTCTAGATTGGCCTGGAAGGGGGCGGTGGCAGGAGGCAAGGTGCTAGAGGGTGGAGGGTGGGAAGGGGGGGGGGGTAAGGGTGATCAGAGCAGATAGAGGCTCCCCCCACCTCCTCCTCCGCTTTGCAGCCTGTCAGACCGGAACACAAGCCGCATACACCGTCCCCGACAAGACGGGCAATGTGAGCATATCGGACTATAGCTTTTATGCAGCTCTGGTAGGCCGTTACCCTATAACGGAAACACAACCTCACACAGACACAGACACAGACACACACACACACACACACACACACAAAAGCAGACATGCGCCGGGCCGGAGCATCATGACACATACGACGAGGAGCGAGGGACCTACCTATCGCTGCGGCTGGCAAGAGTGTTGGTAGTGCGGCCCCAAGCACCCCCCCTCCCCCTCCCCTAAACCATCTGCATAAAGCTCGTCATCGTCTGCTGTGCTGCGCCCCTCCTATAACTTCTCCTTTTTGTTTATCCCGCCATATCGTGGGATTTCCTCGCCGCCTGGACGTCCAGAGCCTTCCCTCCTCGGCGCTGCGCTCCTCATACAGCTCGAGCCCCCGCAGCCCCGCCTCACAGGAGACATTTGCATATCGTACTGAAATAAACGTTGCCCCCCCCCCCCCCCGGCTCCTTACTCTGCACTCGAGGATAAAAAGCGAGGAAACCTTTAATTTGTTCCGTCGGAGGGAAATAGCGGAGGGACGGCCGACGTGTTTCTCTTCTTTGTCTCGGTAAAATAATTGCTTCGGTGACAAATTCGCTTTCCCCCGCGCCGCTCGCGAGGCGCCGCGTATTTTTCCAAGTCGCTGGCGGACTTTTGCGCGACATCTATTAATACTTGAACACGGTTATATAGAAAAAGGGAAAACAATATTATTTGCTTTTAATTTGTCGGGACGGAAGAGGAGGCGAGCTAACCGACGTGACGCCTGTCGGGCTCAGGCGACACGGCCGGCGCGGCTGACAAGTGGTGGAAGAAAGAAGAGCGGGACTAATTGTGGGCGCAGTGAGGCCCGGCCGTGAGTGGCGAGCCATCATGCAGAGACCAGCGGAGCTCCTTCTAGCGCGAGCAGACGACATTCCAACAAAATTCAAACAACGGTAAGCCCGACTAATAACCTCCCCTTCTCACTCTCGTCAATGCATTCACAGAGACGAGCAGGCACATAGGCAGCAGGCGACACTTGTGGTGTGGTAGCAGTGCAAACTGTTTTCATCACGGCTAACCAAAATTGTATAGCGTACAGGCTAATACGTTTTGTTACATTCTCAAAGGCATTGTTTTTGTAAAGTGCCACTTTTCCCCCCTCCCCCTCCGTTTTATTTGTTATTTTTTTTTTTTTTTACTGACGAGCACCCATCATTTACGGCAGCAGCGCGGCGCCTCGTGGTTGCGGACAAAACTCTCCCAGGTGACTCATAAAAAAAGACAAAAACATACGCATACAAACCCACATGTCACACCCACACATTCACAAAAATGTATATTTCGCGCTCGGTCCTGGCGCGCCGCGCAAGCACCCTCTGGTCTGGACTACCCCTCCTCAACCTCGGCAACACGCTCTGCGTATGCGTGCGAGCCAGGGGTGGAGGGTGTGCGTGAGCAAGACAGAGAGCGAGAGAGCGAGAGAGCGAGAGAGAGAGAGAGAGCGAGAGAGAGCGAGAGAGAGAGACACATCCCTGCCCTAATTACGCGGCTTACCGTTATAACGTCGTGGCGATAAATCAGGAGCGCCTCTGTCATTGTGTTCGGCGACAATCGCCGGCCAGCAGGTGTGGGAGAGAGACCGAGCAGTGAGAGAGTGAGAGGGAGAGAGAGAGAGAGAGAGAGAGAGACCGAGCAGTGAGAGAGTGAGAGGGAGAGGGAGAGAGGGGAAGTCAGAGCCGGAGGGGAGGCTCGGGCAACCG